ATATTCGAGAACTTTAAAAGAAATCTGTAGGTGCTTGTTATACACAGCTGTGTGATATATTGGCTAAGTAAACGATTCTTGACACATCCTTTTCCCATGAACATTCCTATAGACGAGTCTTCTGTCTTTCCAGTTTTCCTGAAAGCTTTGAGGCTAGCTTGGTATTTTTCCTCCAGTGTTGGTGATTGGTTTCTTCTGCCTGGATGCATTTAAGTTTGTTTGAAGCTTACTGAGTTCAGTATGGTATGTCTGTAACTTGATGGTTCACCCCTATTTGTTGTTTATCTTTCCTAGTACATGGTGAGATTAGTCTGCAAATTTTTATTATTTCAGAAGAGATCTTGAATATGTTTGTACTTATTTATTTTTCACAGGCAGTATTCCAGATCTCTGGAGTTGGTTGACAAACAGAGCAGATAAAAATCCCTGCCCTTGTGTAGAGCTTAAATTGTATCAGGGAGGCACAAAAATAATAATACATGAGTAAATTATATAGAGTTGTGGGTAGTGAAAGGGTAGTAAGAGGGATTGGGAGTACTGGACAGGAGCTAAAGGAAGACAGGCAGTAAGAGTGTAGTTTTTAATAAGATGGTCACTTTAGACCTCATTGAGAAGGCAAATGGAACAGCCATTGCCAAGGTCCTAAGTCAGGAGCATGTCTGGCATGTTAAAGAAGCAAATAAGCCATATGGCAGCAACAAGGGAGTAAATGAGGAAAGTAGAGGAAAATGGAGTCAGAATTTATAAAAGCAGAGTTCAACGCATGCAGATTGTGTATGGCCTTGCAGGCCATTACTTGTGAAGCCAGAATTTTGCTTTATTGAGAATGGTCTGTAGGAGATGGTGGTAGAAGCAGGGAGCGTGGATTGAGGATCTAGATGTGTGAAATGATGATAGCTTTGTGGACCAGGGAGTTAGTAGTGAAATTGGTTAAGTAGTAGTTAGATTCTATATCTAATAATACATTTGCTTAACAGTTGGGAAGTCTAGAGTTCAGGAGAAAAAGCTGAGCAGGAAGTATTAACTTGGGTTACCAGCAAATGGATAACATTACTAAGATGTTGAATGTAAATGTTTAGAAAAAAAGACAATCAAGGACTGAGGCCTGGAGTATTCACATTACAAAGTTGGTGAAGAAGGGTCAGCAAAGAAGACTAATAAGGAGAGAGCAAGTGACATAATAGAGGTGGTCTGAAAGTCCAGTAGAGTGACTGCTGAAAGGTCAGGTAAGATAAGTGCCGATAGCTAATTATTGCAACAATCATTGGTGACCTTAATTAGAACATATTTAGTGGAGGATGAGGGCGATAGACTAGTTTGAGTGCATTCAAGAGAGAATGAATGGAGAAGAATTAGAGACCTCTAGTATAGATGACTTCTGCAGAGTTTTGTCAGCAAAAAGGAGTAGTATAGGGCAAGTAGCTAAAACGGAGAGAAAAATTGAGCCTTTTTAAATGGGAGCAGAAGTATTTTTTTGGCATTGTGTCATAGGAATGGTACAATGGAAAGGTGAACTCTGATGATCTTTGCCACTTTATTTTGATCTTTTTAATCATATTTATGAGTCTTTTACGAAAGAGATTTTCATTTCTTTAATGGATTTTTTTCTTCATTTTCTTTACATTTCACCTTCTGTTTCTCATTTCTTCTTTAATCTTTTATTTCAAGAATCTCAAATTTCAGAGAATAGAGAAGTCCATATTTTCTTGTTTCCCGGATTGGTTCTTTGAAAGCTTTGTCAGTTGCTTTTTGCTACTTAAGATTTCTTCAATTTGTTGATTACAAATGAAGCAGTTGAGTATTGTGTTTTGTCAGTGTTATTCATTATAGTATTTGAGGGTAGTGCTTAGATGCCCTGGTTGTGTTGCTGATATTACTGAAGTGAGAGAGCAATTTCTGGAAAGAGATATTTATTTACCTTTTCCTGGTCCTATTTACTTATACTAGTGATTGTTTTTAATATCTCCTGGACATCTAATTGATAATATTGTTTATATTATTTGTGAGTGGAATGCTTATTTTACTGTGGATATACTTTTGCAGACATGAGATTAGCTTAATTGGCCAGAAAGAAAGACCATGGCATTTGCATTTAAGTGGAAATTAAGAGATGTATGAATGTGGTAATAAATCAAAAATTGGATTATCATAAACTAGATCTTGTTTTCCGACACTGGCACAATTATTTAATTGGGGGCTTCATTTCTAACTAATGGTTGATCATAAGCTATAGATATAAATGACCAAATAACCATACTCCTCATCCTTCTTGCATTTCAGAGAATCTTGATGGCATTTTTATAGCAGTTGTAATAATCTAGCTTCAGATGGTTTAATTTATGAAATAGATATTAAATCATATAAATCATTTTGAATTGGTATAAATTTATAGCTAAAGATCAGCAACTCTTAACCCAGGAGAGTGTATGTCATAATTATGTAGAGTTATTCAGAATTCACGTTTTAAAAGAACTCTCTGAAATGATTTTGTTGCTTAAGAACTATCACTTATAGAAAAAAGGAATCAAATACATTTTTTCCATCATAAAATCTCATCCAAGAATGTCTAATCCAAACTTTTTCTGCATAGAATTTTTAGTGTCAATTTGTAGAGAAAGTACTAAAGTCACATAAGCTTTTTATGTCTCGTTCCACGCCCACCCCCCACCCCCCACCCCGCCCCATGATAACTTGACTATCAGGGCAGTTCTGTTAATAAATTACCCCTTTAAAGTTTGCCAGAATTTCCATGCTCTAAGCCACTTAGCTTTTCATTACCTTGGATTGCTAGCTCTGAATCTTGGTGTAATTACAGAATTAAATAACTTGCTCTTGTAACTTTATGGACCTTGGGGGATATTCCCTGAGAGAGAGTATGTTAGAGAGTCTTCATTATTTTGCTTCCCTGTCTCTCCAATTTTAGTAAAGTATCAAGGGCTTCTTAGATAAAGTTTATACTTTCCTCTCCCTTGTTACCCCAACTGTGGTAAGGGTAGAATGACTTCAGAGTCATCTGACAGTTTAGATTGGTTCCTAAAGGGCAGTATTGAAAAGAATATCTCTAAAGAGTTGATGGGAACAGTTAGGACTAGCTAGCTTACTTAAAACTTTGTATTCTTTAGGTGACATTGTAGACTGTTAAAATCTTTTTATCTCTTCATTCCTGTTGCTCCTGTCATAGGCTAGACATTGCTGTTTTCATTACTCTGCCTAAGTAATCTTCACCATTGTATTATCGCTCTCAAAAAAAACATACATCTTTGTTTCAGTTTTTACTTTCGTAATCAAATGGTGCAGCTAGCAGTTTGCAGGCTAGAATGTACCTTAGTGCTCCTGAGAAAGAGGACTCAGCCAGTGTATCACTCCCTCAGCTTTAAAATTCTCTTAATTTTCATTTTCTTACACATTGTTCTGTTTTGGTGGTGGTGGTGGTAGTGAAAGGATCATTTAAGTAGTTAAGGATCCACACTACTTGATTTGATGGGGTGGTTCTTGAGCCAGATCAGACACTCCAGTGCTTCGTTGGCAACATTCCAGACATCTAGTTATATTGTAGGTCGGGGTCCCCAGCCCCCAGGTTGTGGACCAGTATTGGTCCGTGGTCCAGTACTGGTCTGTGATCTGTTGGGAACTGGGCTGTACAGCAGGAAGCGAGTGAGCAAAGCTTCATCTATATTTGTAGCGGCTCCCCAGTGCTAGCATCACTACCTCAACTCCACCTCAGATCATCAGGCATTAGATTGTTGTAGGAGCACCCGTCTCAACCAAAAAGATTGAGGACCTCTGGACTGTATGTAATCTTTATCACCAGGGAATAATAAGTATATGAGGATTTAGAAGTTGGATTTCATGAGCTCTGGAGGTTTTTTAGGTGGGGCAACCTAAAATTGAAATGAAGAAAGGACTTAATTATTCAGGATATTCAGAGACTTGGAAGAATATATTGGGGATCCATCCAAAGGAGAGACTCCTCCTGAAGGAATAGGAAGTTAAGATGAAGATTATTGCTTTAGGCATTGAAAGCTCTGCCTGTGTTTCCTCCTGTTTGTAAGTCAGTAATGATTATGACAAATATGAATAGGTTTGTTATTTATATCAGAGAAAAGACAAATTTGTAGATAAAATTAGGCTGAAAACAGAATAAGAGTTGTCAATGAAAATGCTCTAACATTGTCAAATTTCTGAATTGAACTTCCTTATTTTCCTATATTTTAGAGATTCTCAACTGGGGGTGCACAATAGAATCATTCGTGAAGATGTGTATACTATGTCCTACTCCAGAAAGACTGACTCAGATGTCCTCAATGGTTGATTTCCAGACAATACTTCCTTAGGTTTTTGAGATGTTTACTCTCTGGTTTAGGACCCATTTTCTCCCAGTGCTAGATGGAAGTTAAATTCTGATAATTCTTATATAATTTTTCATTTGCAATTGTGAGAATGTTTTGTCTATGACCTAAGAAAATTATCTTTAATTAAGAAATAGAGTCAGTAGATAGGAAGGAAATGGGAAAATGAGAAGGGACAAATGATGGGATTAAAAGTTTATAGCTTCATTGTATAATCAGTAGTTAAAGCTATATTATGTTCTTACAAATATAGCTATGCACAAAAACTCACTTGACTTGCCCCAAAGACCAAATAAAATTTAACATATCGCACCTAAAGTTAATCGAGCATTGTTTACTCTTAGTTTTTCCTTTGTGTTGCATTGAAAACGACCTTTTCTAACCTCCCTAACTATTCAGTTTCCTATTATTTTCCAAAAAGAACATTTTTTAAAGTCAGCCATTTTTTCTCTGTTTACTTTGTCTCGTTCCATTACTCACAAGTTGTTGATTCTAGCAGAATTTATTTAATGAGTCCCATATTGATGAGCATGGTGGGATGTACCATTTAAATATTTCTTTTGATACAAAATGTGTATTTACATTTCTTAATACTCACATTCTAAAGGAAATAAATTTTAATAGTTTTAACTTGACTATGTTTTTTAACAGCAGAAAAAGAAAACTAAGAACTTCAATCCGCCAACACGTAGAAACTGGGAAAGTAATTACTTTGGGATGCCCCTCCAAGATCTGGTTACAGCTGAGAAGCCCATACCACTATTTGTTGAAAAGTGTGTGGAATTCATTGAAGATACAGGTAGGATAGAAGTATCAATCCAAGAGATTTGATTTAAAATTTCATTTTTGCTACACCAACAGTTGGTCAAATGTTCATGATTCATTAAAGCTAAGTTTTGAAAAAGGTATATAGTTCTCATTAGAGTTGATTATCTTGAGTATTAACTCTAGATGTAACCACCAGATACATGAAAGTTTTGTTGTTGGCCAGTAATGCTCTTATCGGACTTCTCTTTAATAAATGGCTAAGCCAAGTGTGAAAATGTTGGACTTACCTTATTCTGGAATGTAGACTAACTTTATTATGCTACTTAATCATACCTGTTAACTACTAGTATTCTACTTGAAATAGCCTATATCATCTTTCTCTCATTAATAAGTGTTAATTTTTGGGCCTACATTTGGATATACCTGTAGTCCTTTGTTTTTCTTTCAACAAAATGTGTAATAGGCATATTTCTTGTCTATATTCTTTAGCATTCAGTAGAAATGCAAAGGTCCTTATAATTTTAGCTTCCCACTTTGGGCTTAAAGAATTTTTATTTTCCTCTAGTAATATAATTAGGACTTACGGGAATGACTGGGAAGTTAGAAAATACTTTAGTGATTAGGGAATAATAAGTAATAGATAGCATTTTGTACATTTATTTTCATGATTAAAAATGTTTCTTGAATATTTTGATGGTAGTTGAGTGATTTAGTTTGAGGAGAATGAATGAATTCCAAGTCTAAAAATATAAAGGAATTCTAGTCCAATTTTAGCACAATTTGAATTAGTTCAGTCAACTCACAGATAATTTATATATTTAAGTGCTTCCTTAGAAGTATACTTGAGGTACTGTAAGACCATAAGAATAGTTTTACATAAAATTCAAGCTAGTTCTTTTGTTGTTGTTTGATTTTATTATTGATTAATATTAATCAGTTTTAGCAGAAATTCCCACTTGCTCAAGAGTTCAATATCAAATTCTCAATATGCACTGTAGCACAGCCATCTTCTATTTTAGGCTCAACTTGTAGTAATGTACATATATATTAGATACCTATTAAAAGTTGTACTTCATTGTTTATAGGTTCTTAGACATAGTGATATAGACAAGTAGTACTTTTATTGTTATAATCAGCACTCTTGTTTAAAAAACTAAACTTTTTTTTTAAAGAAACCCAAAGAAAATATTATGACTTGAAAAATCAATTTTATTGGTATAATTTACATACAGTAAAACTTACCAGTTTTAATTGTTCAGTAGTATGAGTTTTGATAACTCTATAGTCATGGAAATACCACTACAGTCATGATTCAGAACATTTTCATTACTCCAAAAAGCATTAAGTGTTTCATCATTAAGTATAATGTTAGCTGTTGGTTTTTTGTAGATGCTCTTTATCAAGTTGAGTAGTACCCTTTTATTCCTAGTTTGTTGCATTTTTATCCAAAATGGATGTTGATTTTTGTCAGGTGATTTTTGTGCATCTATTGAGGTGATCTAATTCTTTTAGCAGGGGGAGATAGACGGAGTAAAGGGAGTCAAATATGTGACGGAAAGAAATCTAACTATGGGAAGTGAACACACAGTATAAATATATATGTGCCTTACTATTAAAGTGTACAGCTGAAACTTATTGGATTCTGTTAACCAATGTAACCATAAAAAAAAATAATTAATTAAAAAAATAAAGTCTGTTTATATGGTGACATGTTAATTGATCTTCAAATGTTGATAACCTTGCAATCCCTGGGATAAACACCACTTGATCTTAATGTTTTGTCTTTTTTATGTATCCCTGGATTCAGTTTACTAAAATGTTATTAAGGATTTCTGCATCCTGAGGGATACTGGTCTGTAGTTTTCTTGCTATGTCTTTGTCTGGTTTTGGTATCGCAGTAAAGCTGGCATTATAGACTATTTTCTGGAAAAGTTTGGATAGAATCGATAACATTTCTTTCTTAAATTTTAGTGGAATTCAGTGAAACTACTTGAACCCGAAATTTTGTTTGTAGGAGGATTTAACAATGGATTAAATTCCTTTAATAGATAGAGGGTTGTACAGATTTTTGATTTCTTCTTGAGTAAACATCGTTTTTTTTGTTGTTTTTTTTGTTTGTTTGTTTTTTGCCTCTTTTTGAGGAGTTTATCCGTTTTATCCAATTTGGCATAAGGTTGTTTATAAAATTTATTATTTTAATGCATGTAATATATCTAATGATGTCTTGTTTTTGGTATTACTAATTTGTGTCTTTTTTTCTTTCTTGTTAGAGGTTTACCAGTTTAATTTATCTTTTCAATGATCCAACTTTTGGTTTTGTTTTTTCTCTCATTCATTTTTTAATTCATTGAATTCTTTTTATTTCCTTTCTGCTTTCATTTGGTTTCTTTGTAGTTTTTTAAAAGCCTAGATTAATGATTTGACCAACTTTTCTGCTGTATTTGTTAATGTTTTCTTCACATTTTTTTTGTTGCATGCCACAGATTTTGATATTTTGCTTTCATTTCCATTCAATTCAGAATAGTTTGTAATTTCTCTTTTGATTTTTAAAATTCAACTCTTTGGCTATTATGTTTTATTTTTAAACATTTTCCAGATTACTTTTCTGTATTCATTTCTAGTTTAATTTCTATTGCAATTGGAAAATAGTTTGATTTCAGTGTAAGTTTATTTAGATTTGTTTTATAGCCCAGAATATGATCTATTTTAAAGGATGTTCCATGGGACCTTGGACAGAATGTTTATTAAGCTGTTGAGTGAAGAGTTCTAAAAATATCAGATCAAGTTCTTTTAGAGTATTGATCAAGTCTTGTATATCCTTACTGATTTTCTTGTTGGCTTGTTTTTTTAAAGAGTACTGTTGAACATGTAGATATCTGTTTCTCCTTTCAGTTCTGTTGGATTTTGCTTCATGTGTTTTGAAATTCTGGTAGTTGTTTATATATTTACAATTATGTCTTCTCTGTGAACTGACCTATTATTATGAAGCATTCTCCATTCTCTTTATGGTTTATAATAGTCTTTGTTTGGGAGTCTACTTTGTCTAATATTAATATAGCCAGTGATATTTTGTTTTGAGTAGTGTTTATGTGGTATATCTTTTCTATCCTTTTTTTTTATCCTTTCTGTATCTTTATATTTAATGTAGTTTCTTGTAGATAAAAATATCATTTGGTCTGACAATCCACTTGTTTTCATTGGAGTGTTTATTAGATCAATTGCTTTAATGTACTTATCAGTATAATTCGTTTTAAGTCTCCCACTTTGTTTTTATTTTCTTTTTGTCCCCATGTGGTCTTTATTCTTTTTTTCTTCTTTTCCTTTTTTCCATTGAATTAATTGAATATTTTTAATTCTCTTTTTAATATCAGGTTATTAGTTTTATCTGTTTCTTAGGGTGCTCTGTAATTTGAAATATACATCTTTAATCACAGTTCATCTTCAAAAAATATTACACCACCATAATGTGTAGTTTAAGAACCTCGTAACAGTATATTTAACCCTCCTATCCCTTGTTCTGTTGTTGTACATTTTAATTCTATAATATCTTTTAAACATTACAGGACATAATTTTTGCTTTAAATAGGTAATTATCCTCATTTTTAAAAGATATTTTTGTAGATAATAAGTCTTTACATAATAGCTTTATTGAAATGTAATTCACATACTCTACAATTCATCTATTTAAAGTGTGTGGTCCAGTGGTGTTTTAGTATATTCACAGAGTTGTGTAGCAGTCAGCACAATCAATCTTAGAGCATTGTCATCATCCCCAAAAGGAACCCCATCCTATTAAGCAGTCATTCCATGTTTCTCATAGCTACCCACCCCTTTAACTCACCCCCTTAACTTTATGTCTCTATAGATTTACCTGTCCTGGTCTTTTGTGCCTGGCTTTTTTCATTTAACAAATTTTCAAGGCTCTTTCATATTGTAGCATCTATCAGTATTCCATTTTTATTGAATAATTTTCCATTGATGAACATTTGGATTTTTTCAAATTTTTGACTGTTGATAATATTGGTGCTGTGAACATTCCTATACCAGTTTCTGTGCGGACATGTTTTTCATTTCTCTTGAGTATGTACCTTGAAGTGGAATTGCTTTCAATTGTAATTGGTATACAATAATATATTAGTTTTAGTTGTACAGCGTAGTGATAGAGGTCTGTATAACTCAAAGTGATCACCTCCACTAAATCTAGTACCCCTCTTCCCCGTATATATTTATTACATTAACTGTTTTCCTTATGCTGCACTTTATATCTCCATGACTGTTTTGTATCTGTCCGTTTGTATTTCTTAATCCCTTTGCCCTTTTTCACCTCTTTCCCAACTCCCTTGCATTTAGTAGCTCTCAAAATATTCTCTGTATCTATGAGTTTATTTCCATTTTTTGTTGTTGTTTATTGTTCTTTAGATTCCACATGTACATGAAATCATGTGATATTTGACTTTATCTGACTTGTTTCATTCAGCGCAATACCCTCTAGGTCCATCAAAGCAATATCTTTTCTCATCTCCTTTCTTTTAGTCAGTATGTGTCTTTTAATCTGGAGTCTCTTGTAGGCAGCATAAGTAGGGATCTTGTTTTCTTATCTGTTCAGCCACTCTTTCTTTTGGTTGGAGCACTTAATTCTTTTCCATTTGAGGTACTTGTTGATAGGAATTTAGTTGTTACCATTCTTTATTCCTGTTTTTGATACAGTTTTTTTTTTTTTTTTCTTAAGTCTCTCCAACATTTCCTAGAATACCAGCTTGGCGTTGATAAATTCCTTTAGCTTATTTTTGTCTGGGAAGCTCTAAATGATAACTTTGCTGGATAGAGTATTCTTGGTTGTAGATCCTGGGTTTTCATCACGTTGAATATTTTGGGCTCAACAGAGGAACAATGGAAACCGCTGGCACTTCTGCCTGGGAGAGAGCCTCGCCTCCGGCCCTCACTCAGACAGTTCCCCTTGTAAGTCCCTGGTGCCCCCGTGAAGCTGACCCAGTGCTGGTACTCAAGACTGAACAGCTCTGTCACGGCGCA